GCCCAACACTGACCATGACTTCATGTATCTTTTATGATGAGCAACCCCATCCACACAATACAACTAGCTGTGAATTACTGCAGTAAAGACCATAGTTTTTGTAATAATAATAAAAATTATTATTATATTTTTCAGGTGGCCACGGTCATTCATGCAACGAGTGACTTACACTGACAGAAGCATCTGTGCCTTCAAAGGCTCATCAGTGGACATTTCTTGTACTTACAACAGTTATGAAACTATCAATCTAATTCTGGTTCAGACCTGAACGTAGTCTTCAGTGGCAGAATCCCTCACAAGCCTGAGGACCTTAGTGAAGACTCCCAGTATGCAGGTCGTGTTCAGGTCCTTGAACAGAGAGAGGACGCTCCACTCTGAGAATCACTGACCTGAGAGAGAGCGACTCAGCTGAGTATCACTTCAAATTCACAGCATACCTTTGAATGGAGGAGTAGTTTACCTGGTACAACTCTGACTGTCACAGGTACTGATGAACACAAACTGTAACAGCACATTTAAACTATCTGATGACAAGTGGAATGATGTGCAGAATAGATCCTAATGGGAAAAATGTTTGTGTGATTTGATTGGATGATGGTCACAATTTTATTGTTGTTTAAATCTCTGTGTATGTCTGTTTGATTCAGTTTCACAAAAAATTTTTCAAATATTTCTGTTTTTTCTCCACAGATTTAGATCTCCAGGTGCAGGTGATCAGATCAACAGTCTACCAGAATTACTGAGGCAGAGCTGCTTTGTCACAGCAGCTGTCGTCTTCCTAATCGTTCTTCCTACATCTGGTTCAAGAATGGACAGAAAATGGAAAGGGTGGAGACATCTTCTTAAAGATCAGTTTTATCCTGGAGACATCATCTCCTGTGCTGTAAAGGACATGAGGATTTCTGCTCTCCTTCAGTGTGTGAGTTTACTCCACTGTGTCAGGAAAAAAACATGCTTATGCACAATACTCTTATAATTTCAGACATAACCATATTAGAGTATTCTATACCGTAATAATTAATTTTTCATTGTAAAACTTTATAATGGAGTAAAGTTTCTGAAGATTTATTCCTCACAGACTCGACAGACATCTTAGTAGTAAGAAATCCTAATATTGTCATTCGCTCTGATAAGGTTGTGTGTAAAGCTCCTCTTTTGAAAAGATGTAGTCTATTAAAGACGTAGTATTCTGCTCATTTTCAGGTTCAAAATCTTACCAGAACAGGTTTACATGGTTTCATTTTCAAAAAACACCCTATTTTTCTCATACTGCACATTGCTGCAGCTCCTCTTTTCACCCTGTGTTGTACGCTCCGCTCTTGAGCTACAGAGTGATGCATCTTACTTGTACAAAATCTTTGCTGGGAGTTGCACATGCGCAGTTCCCAGGTAAGGACTACTAGCCAATCAGAAGCAGAGAAGGGCGGGTCGTAAGAAACAAGGTAGTGATCCAAATCAAAGTCTTCAGACTGCGACCGAAACCTAGCAGATGGTAAAAGTTACTCACAAGTCCACAACCACACAACATCATTGTTCCACATCTTACCATAAAGCACTACAAAAATCACATATTTCAACTCAATTTTACATCAAAATTGGCCAACAATTTGAACATTTGCTCAGTAGCTTTCACATCAGGTGTAACATTAGCATTATAGCTATAACTTTAGCTGTGTTGGCCAACGTTTACAGCAACTCCGCACTTGAACAGTCTGAAGTTACATTGCCGTGTTTATTTTAAATATAATTCACAACCGATAAAGCATACTTACAGGTTGTGATTGTGAATTTCCAGGCCCAAACAGAGTCGAGTTGCATCATCTTTTGACTAATCTATGCTGCCTTCACCGAAAAATGCTACCAGAGCGCAAATCGATAGACTCTACTCGGCCCTGCTCCGTTTTCCGTTACAGATAGTACCCAGAGATAGTACGTAGATTGTAGTCATAGCAACGCCACACACAACTTCCGTAACGTAATGTCTTTAAACACCATCTGTAATTTCACAGCATTTAAGGGCTCTTTCTCCATCTCAGCTCTGCCTTTTCTCTTTCTCTCGTTCTCCTGTGCATTTTTTCTACGCACACTCGCGCACTGACTGACCGCTGTGTTGATGTGTGTATGCATGCAATCAATTGCACGTGATGACAGAGATCATGCCATCAGGTTAAAACAAGAAGGGAGGCCGAGGGTCTACGGTCTGAGTGACTGTGGCTGCCCTGTGACAGATTCAACTTTAATGGGCCTAATCTTGTTTGACAAAAGTCTGGATGTCAGATTTGACGCGCCTCAAAGCAGCGGCACTGCAGGAGAGAGTGAGACGCACCTGTTGTGTGGATTCTCCTGCTATTAAAAAAGCTTGCAATCGCTGCCGCTGGTCAAGTTGTATTACAAAAGAAAAAATACTGGTAATATTAAGTGGGTTTTTTTATAATTCGCCAACACCGAAAAAAATTTCGGCACCAGAAAAACAAATCCATCAGTAAATGAGAAACATTATTTTCTCAGGCAGTATGCAAACTGGTCATTGGTCTATCTTCACCAAGCCATCAGAGAGCTTCATGACAGAGGAGGCCATGAGTTTGTCAGAGAGATCCACCTTGTCCCGCCTCTCAATGGACCACCGGGCTGTTTTCTCTGTATCTTTCTTGTAGTTGGTTGGGGCGTCCATGAAAGGAGGGCTTTTCTGCATGGGCATGTGGAAAGGGTAACTAGCCTCTCCACCCCCAGTGCACTCTTTTCTTCCATCAGTTAGTCTTTCCTGACTGTCCTTCAGTCTTACTCTTATTAATAGAGCGGGTGAATAAATCAAGTTCCTGGGAATCAACGTCACAGAGAACCTGACATGGTCGTCCCACATGCTCCCAGCTTTTACAGAGGAGCAATGGAAACAGAAACACATTTATTTGGTTGTGGTCTGAGAGTGCTGTTTGCTGTCTGACAATAAATGCGTTGAAAGTGGAGGGGTCCATGTCAGTGATTGCATAGTCCACTACATTACACCCAAGAGCAGAAGAGTATGTAAATCTCCCTAAAGAGTCTCCTCTGATCCTACAGTCAAGAAAGTACAGACTTGAGGCTCGACAGAGGTGTAGCAGCCCCTGTACCACTACTGTTTGTCACACTATCAAGGTTGTTTCTGTGAGTGATAATTGGAGATTTACTAAGGGGTCTGGCCAAACACGTGATTATTACCTTGTGGGTCAACAATATCCGGTTCAGTACCAGTTCTTGCATTCAGGTCTCCACATAGAAACAGATTTCCCTGGACTTGAAAGTGGGTGATTTCTGTGAGGAGATTGCTAAATATTTCCTCAATATGTCGATTTTATTGGTGGGACATAAATTGCACAAAGATAAATTTCCATCCTGATACTTGAATTTAGTTTTAGCCAGATGTGTGACTTCCCTTCCCTATCTGTCTAATAAACAAACACAGAAGTTTTAATGGATCGTCCTTGATTACATATTCTAATATTTAAGTAATTCATGTTCATCTGTTCTCCAGATGCTCCAAAGCTTCCCTCTGTGTCAGTGAGTCCCTCTGCTGAGATAGTGGAGGGCAGTTCAGTGACTCTGACCTGCAGCAGTGATGCTAACCCAGCAGCTAATTATACCTGGTACAAGGAGAACCAAACACTGCTCAGTGAAGAACCACAGCTTGTCTTCAGCTCCATCCAGTCCTCTGACTCTGGAGAGTATTACTGTGCAGCTGAGAACCAGCTGGGGAGGAGGACATCTGAATACATCATTAATGTGAAATGTGAGTGGAACAGCTTATTTAAAACTACAAACAGCTCAGTTTTTGCACGAAAAGGATTTTACTAAATCTTTGGTAGGGGTAGAGGCTGAACCCATTATTAGCAGGAGGAACACATAAACAGCAGGTGGAGTTGGAACAAGTCTCAGAAACATCTACTCATCTGTACTTCTCATCCTCTTTTGAGTTGAATTTAGGTTTCAGATCTCTGTGTAACGATTGGCTGTCTGTCAGATGCCTAATTACATATATTCAGAGCAATGGACTAGGGCTGACCCTAGTTGAAGCTTTTCGATGCTTCAATGGGAGGAGCCTGATTCGGCTGTCAATCTCACAGTCAAAGCTTGCAACAGTGTTATGAAACAAGGATCGTGTTATTTTGGTGATATTGGGGTGCTCAATGTCTGATTTTAAACAGAACACAAAGAATATATCGCTTTTAAACAGTACCGTGACGTGCATGTACAGTTAGTTGTGAGGCACGCGCGCCCGCACAGCTCGGTACAAGACCGGTGAAAAGCAGGCGAGCAGAGAGAAACAATAAGCCTCAGTTTAGCTCCAAATGTAACACTGAGTAATAAATAGAGACTGCAGTGCCAACCACATGGACATTGCATGCAGCTCCCCTCTAAGTAAACCAATGTGAATTGTAATGGTACTTGCCAAAATGTGAGGTTCCAGCAACGAACTGAAGAAATAATGTTTTGCCCACATTGTGAGAAGTTTTGAGGTCAGTTTTTATTTTTTATTCATGTAAGAAGCCCCCAAGTTTCTTCATAGAAAAGGGTCGTGAAGAGAAAACCTGTGGCCAAGTATCATGTACAAGTCTGTTAGTGACCTGCTAGCTAGCTTTGTAGAGGCAACTACAGCCTTACTCATGAAGCAGGATTACTAAACCAGGCGGATAACAAAGTAACAACTGGGAAATCAAAATAATGAATCAAAATTATCACTGAATTATTACTACATTGCTCCTCCGAGGTTGTGGGACCCCATGCCTATAACAGACCTGTGAACAAAGATTCATAAGTTTTCTCTTTTGTCTCCAGATGCTCCAAAGCTTCCCTCTGTGTCAGTGAGTCCCTCTGCTGAGATAGTGGAGGGCAGTTCAGTGACTCTGACCTGCAGCAGTGATGCTAACCCAGCAGCTAATTATACCTGGTACAAGGAGAATGAAGACTCACCAAAAGCATCAGGACAGAACTTCACCATCACTGACTTCAGAGCTGAACACAGTGGGAATTATTACTGTGAAGCCCAGAACAGAAGAGGACGTCATAACTCCACCTTACATCTGATTGTTGTGGCAGGTAAGGTTATACTACATTTAAAGGGGTCCTCATACATCTTTGAGCTGACCTTGGGTTACAGAAGCTCACCTTACTTTAGTTTGGATTATTTTTTAAACTTTGACAAAACCGATCCCAAAATAACTTAAACCATAATTTGTGTCCAGTTATCTTCACTATTAGACCCAAACATTCCTGTAACTTTTCCAGTGTTTGTGCTTGATTGTTGTTTTCCAGGTTCATTGAAATTTCCAGTTGTTCTATCAGTCAGTGCTGTTGTTCTGGTCTTCATACTTCTTCTCTCTGTCTTCATATGGATTAGGTGAGCAGATCAGTTTCTCTGTGATTCAATTTACTATGGATCTTAAAGGACGCGTTCACATTTTTTGGTATCAAGTCAAGTCAGTCTCAAAGCAATAGTCACATTGAAAGTTAGCTGTAATGGTTCCTCATGTTAACACTGGCCCTCAAGAGATCCCCTCTGAAAGCAGTTTCAATGTAAGTGATGCTGGAAATACCATACAAAAAAAGACTAACAGTGGAAGATACACACAGAATATGATTTCTGTGTGTATCTATCACTTACATTGAAACTACTTTAGGGAGGGATTTATTTGAGGCCAGTTTGTACAAGAGCAACCAATAACTCTCAATGTACATATGGGCTTTTTAGCATTGTATTAGTGTTTGTTTGAAGAAATGCGTCATGTGTTTAGTTAATAATTTGCTTCTTTTATTTATTCTCCTGTCAGAAAGAGCTCCTTGCAAAAACAACCTGAGGCTGATGAGACACCACACAACAGAGCAGAGGTACAAACAAAAACATGCTGTTCAGTCACCGGTCAGCTGGTCATCTCATTGGTGCATCACTTCCTTCTTTGACTACTTTATTCACCAAATTAACCACATCCTCCTTTATCTATCACCCTCCCTACTAGCATCCTTCTCTAGTTACACCTGATAACCTCATGGCCAAACTGAAGATAATGTGCAAGTTTAAGATTCTATCTTAAGTCACGTTTTATAAATGAACGGCATTTATTTTAATAGTTTTTAGACAGGAGAAAAAATCTGACTCACACCTGGTTTACCTGAAAGATTAAAGGAGAGGTTCCACATTCCACATCCAAGTCTGTTTGTTATCCAGGTGTCCATATGAACATTTAAACAGTAATTATTCCTCCTGTTCATTCTACGTTATTAAGAAATCCCTTCCTAATGCACTTTCAGTGTTGTAATGAGGGACAAAATCCAATGTCCTCAATCTGTGTGAAAATTATTTAAAAGTTTATCTGAAGGTAAAATGAGGCTTTAGCCATCCAAGTTACACAAATCAAACGGGTCTCTTACAAAGTCAGTAATTTCATCCCAGCACTATATAAAACATAAGACTGTTGTTTTAAAACTGACAAACTTTTACTTTAAATACCCACAATGAATTAAGCAGTCTTTCTCCAGACATACTTCTGGCACATGGTTCACCTAAATTGAACAACAAACTTCTTGTAACTATCTGGTTCATGGGGCATTAAGTAAAATGTGAATACTATTATCATCTGCTGCTGGTATTGCAACACAAAGAGAAGCATGTTTCCATCCAATTGTCATGCAAATTTGAAGCGGACTCTTGAAATGTCGCAAAAAAGAAAAAAAGGGAAATGTGAAATGGCTCATCAGCTGTTTTGGAGTGAATACACCAGTCGCATGGAACTAATGGCCACTGATCTTAGAAAAATGGAGAGAGGTCCTCAGAATTGTGTTTCAAGAGGGCAAGTTGCTACCAGCCATGTCTCCACACGTTATGGGAATATTGGTCAAGATGCCAACAGCAAACAGCTGATCAGACGTGAGTTACAAGTTCGCTACATCAGAACTTATTCGGCAAAAGTGTTTCCATCTCCCAAGTAGTGCATTAAGAGTTTTTCGACAAAGGCAAAAACACCTCAAGCCAGCGTAAAAAGTTTTTTGCGAGATTAAGGATTTTGTTTTTTCTGGGGTTTTTTTTCATCAACCTTTTCTAATGCCACATAAATAACATTGATGGAAACACGGCTACAGACTGATATCAAGCCTCAGGATCACAGTTCTTTGGTTTAGCAAATTAGGCTGAACACACTCCACCTTATACCCTGCAGATATTTTACTGAGTGGTCCTGTCATGCTGCAGTTCAGAGTTCTGTTTGTCTTGTAAAGAGTACATGGAAAATGTAATAGTGACTATCTCTGTGACCAGCAGACAGATGAAACTCAGGATGCAACCATACGATTCGTAAGAAACCAGGCAGAGGCTCTCTACTCCAACAACAGCCCAGCTCAGCCCCTCAGAAACGAGGAGGAGGTTGTTTACGCGGCCCCCAACTTCAACAGTGCCGCAGGGTGAGCAACTCTTCACACAGGACAATCTTTGTTGCTGTTTAATTTAAATAAAGTTAAATAAAAATAGAAAGTGTTTAATCCCACATGTTCTATGTTTTTTTAGTGTTTTTATTAAATGTTCTTCTTTTAAATTATTGATTCCTTCACAGAACAAGGCCTCAAGCAGCTGTGGAGGATGTATCTGCCCTGTACAGCAGAGTTAGTAGACGACACTGAGTGTGGTGACAACATGGATCTGTGGTCTGTATTTATGCATGGACTTTCTATGCCTTTTCTTAGCAGGTGGCCCCATTTGATTTTTCCTCAGGACAGACTGGGCCAAGAATGCAGAATCAAGGCAGCAATAATCATTTATACATCGATTATATTAATGAAGGACAGATAGATTAAATATTAGACACTTCTCTGATGGACATTTAAACCTTTGTGAAGAATTTATTACAGGACTGTTGTGTTAAACTGCATACTTTAGCTCCGTCTACCATTTTTTCAGGACTTTACAATTTTGATTATTATATGATCACATTTGGTCATAATGTTTGGGTTTTTTGTTTGTTTTTTTAAAGGGACAGTGCACATCAGTGAACATAAGGACAATGCCCAAATGTAAATGAGCCAGATTTAGCCATACAGACTCATTTTTATCTGGAGTCCCTGGCAGGTTGATGTTATAAGAATAAGTCACATCTATTGTCAGTATTCATATGCTAATTTTCTGAACTTGTATTTTTATTGCATGGTCATGTCCGCTCATTATTGGCTGCCTATATTGCTGTATGTATTTATCTGCTTTGAAAACTCATGTTTGCTTCATCTTGCATGTAAAATAGTGAGTAAGACACAAGATAAGACCTTTTCTTTCTGGAGAAAGAGAGACTGCTTGGTAACACTTTTTAAAATGTAAATAGATATAAACTGTATTTTTCATTTGCATTTTAAGCCTTTGACATGGAGTTTGTGTTTCAGTCGGATTAAACAGCAACAACGTTTATCGCATCTTTTTGTTGTTGTTACATCTGAAATGAAAGGCACTCAACCATTTTGGGGCATAAATCAACTTTGATAATAATAGTTTTTGGGGTGATATAAATTCTCTAAACCGTGGTTTAACAATCTGTACATATGATGGTGCTAACAGAGCTCAAAGGAAGGAAGTTTGTTGTTTATCCAGTTTGTCTCCTTGTTGCTTGAAACGCTGAAGTGTGTAGTGATTACTGAGAATCGGTGTGTGACCATATCTATTGTCTCAGACCTAAATGTTCTGCACAAATGTTAAAGTTTAACTAGTTAAAGATCTACAAGACAAACGTCTGTATCTGCTGTTATCATTCCACTTGTCCAAACTGGACGTTAAGATATCCTTTGGTAAAAAAGGGGGACAATATGCCGTCCTCTGTGCAAAAATGTATTCACAAGTTTATATGAAATGAATATGAGGCTTAAGCCGTCTGAGTTAGACAAACAAAGTGCTCATCTCCCAAAGTTACTGTCCTTTTAGTACCAAATGCCCACTTTGTGTTTACTTTGTGTTTCCTGGCTGAGTTTCTGAGTTTCCCAATAAAAAGACTGTACCTACACAGGCTTCTCACTTTATTTGTCTAACCCAGACTGCCTCAGATTAGCCCTCTATGTATCTTTGCACAGACTGAGGACTGATGCTCATTCTGAGTCAGCATTGTTCTTTATTGGGAAATCTCCATGTGGCAGATAAAAGTCTGCTGAGCACCATCTGATTCCTTCAGTCTCCCTTAATAGGATTTATTATAGCAAAGCCCACAAATTAAATTTCATTCAGGCAGTTAGAGGTCTACATCTCAAAGAAAGACTCCTAAATTGCCAATAGTTGTATTAGCACAAACATAAATAATTATACTCCTTCAGAAAGTGCTGAGGTGATCAGTAGCAGTAGCCAGATGCCCAGACAGGTAACAACTGCCTGTAACATCTCTCAAGCTGTTTGTGTCTGTGAGGGAATTTAGGCCATGTTAATGGAGGTGACCTGCTAAACTTAACCTGTCTTCTTATGTCTCATGTCTCTGGACAGGGTGCTGCTGAAAATGACATTACAAATGACAAAGAAAAGTTGACATGATGCGACTGCATTTCTTAAGTGTTAAATCAGTATTAAGTTTTGTCACATGATTCACAATGACTTTGATGTGTCATTATCACACTGTCTGTTTGAGGCCAAACCATTCTGAGTTACAATACTTTGTATGAGATCATCAGAATAATACATGCATTGTATGGTCTGGTTTAGTGTTTATGGATGTGACCACCTTTTTGTGAACATGTAGTTCTTATGTGGGGACAAGGCCTGAAGGTTAACCGTATTTCCTCTTCAAACAACTAAAACAACAATAAAAAAATGAATGTATGAAAAAAAATCCATAAATGTCAAATCAGTTGTCAGTATTTTAAGCACAACCTGGACGGAAACTCCAGTTTTTAAACATTGCACAGTTAATGCCACTCACAGGACAGTGTGAAAAATTGAGGTTTGATTCTTAGATAGTTCCTAAAAAGTCTATTAATACTTTCAGAGACAAACCAACAGCATTCACTGCTGCTGTGAGAACAAACAATCACTTCCTGTTCATGTGGTGACTCGTCAGCTTTTCTGTTTGACCTGTGAGATCTCTTAATACAGTCTCCAAACTCTACAGGCATCAATGCAAACTGATTTAGAGCTGCATGTTTTCATCACAAACACTGAGTATTGGGAACATATTCTCTGTGTATGCAATGGACTTTTGTTCTTTTTCATCCAATAGAAACAATATTTTCCATCCATATTCTTCTAACTTGTGGGGTAGTTCAAAGATCCTGCACACCTGTGTGGGTATGTAGGGCCTTCAATGTATGACAAAGTCTCTACTACAGCTGGTAGAGCTGATGATCAGCTGCTTCTCTAAAGACGTATTTCCTCTGTTCTTCTCTCCTTGCATGTTTTCCTTGCAACAACTTCCACCAGCTCTGTGTCAAGGCCTGCCCCCACTCTCCCGCTACGGTGTCTCTGATTAGCTAATATTAACCCTTACTCCACCCTAAACCAAACCTTAACTAAAGTAATAAATAGAGGCAATGAGAACAATCCAGTACGAGTTGTCAGAAAGCTGGTGGGGGAAAAGATTTGACTTTTCTTGTGTCTCCATGCTTCTAAGGTGGGGGGGACTAAGATGCAATGAAAAGATTGAAATGATGACGGGAGGCAAGGTGAGGAGCTGAGGATGTACAAACTGAGACCTGGTTGTTGTGTAAAGTAAAAAATGCATCATTTGCAAAACAACAGTAAGAATCATGTCTTCATTTCAACTTGGAGATGTACAGTCTGTTCCTGCATACTAATGATGTGAAGAGGAAGAAAGTCAGGGCGGCCTTTAACACTTCAGTGTCTGTTTTAACACAAGAGTACCAAGCACAGAGACAAACTGTCTTCAAAGACAGCGTCCTCCCTTTTTCATTACAAATGTTCATTGGGACTAAGTGACATTTTGGTTATATTAAAACCCCTTGTTGAACTATACCTGCTCCACTCTGTGTCCTGCGTTTGGGTCCTCCAACCTGCCTCCACACCACGATCGTGACAGCGAGTGGATTTGTTGTCTTCCTTCTCTCTGTACAAGGTACTGGACATCTTTATATTGTGTTAGCGCACTTCAGAAAATCAGAGGAAGATGACTTTTATTTTTATATATATATATATATATATATATATAATAATAATACGATTTGATGTGTGTTATACAATGTGGTGCGACCCCTGCAACACCAGACATTCACTTCTTTCTTTAAATTGAACTCTTTACAAGACGTCCAACAGAAAACGTGAGTCAGTGTCATGTCTGTCTTTTCACAGGAGATCACTAACTGTAGGAGTTGAAAGGTGGACAACATAACTTAAAGTTAAAAAATCTGCAGTTTCCCTCAAAACATTTGTTACACTCTCACCAGCCTTGTTTCCAGCATCAGCTGCAGCTGATTTCAGTGAAAAGGCTCTAAAAACACCCTGTACACTACCTGCCTAGTACCAAATGACTAGCTGGTGACCATAGCTAATGGCTAGCTGCTAACGAGCCAGACGTTTTCCTACTTCCCCACCTACAAACACTGACCAAGCTGGGTGTGCTGCTGCCTGGAAAGGAACTCATGACCTCGGTCTGTACATTTAATTTTTCAGAACAAGTTAATAAAATTAGGGAGTGTTTAATCAAATCCATTATAAGATAGTATTCTTGAATATGTCACAGATTCACTGATGCTGCAAATTCAGACATGTTGGTTTGAAAAGTTCACAAACTGAATTGTGTTTATTTGTGTTGACATAAAAATGCATCTGATCCATACGTATCCTAAACACAGCTTTAACTGAAAATTCCACCTTTAAAACACACATGGGAATCAGCCAATGTTGTTATTACTTTCATTAAGTTACAATAATAAGTGTTTGTCTACATACCACAGTAGCTGTCCACACCTCAGTGGTCTGCATTTCTCTACAGTTTCCATTCACACTCTGCAGCAGCCGACCACAGACAGGAAAGCAACTCAGCAAAGCAGACTCCTTTTTGTGTAGCCTATCACACCCCTCTAATATTTAATGTTCCACTTTTTTATCCTGTTCAGTAAATACAGTTTCAGTACATCGCTGTTCCTTCACTGCACCCTCTGTATGATGTCCTGCTGTCACGTGTTCATCTCTGGTTCCTTTGCGTTTTATATTATGTAAAAGTGAATGATTTGAAGACTTCTCAATAGCTCTGTTCACTTTGGCATAAACCAGAAGAACTTAATTTATAACATATTACAACAGACGTTGTAGAAGTCCCCAACAAAGTAGTAAATACATAAAAAAAACTTGATACAGAATAAATCTTATATTCAGTTCTAGTTAATAAAATATTCTGAGAACTGTGGTGGGAGAAGTGTGTTTGAATAAACATCTCAGGCAAACACTTTTCTTTCTGTGAATTTTATTGAAGTCTGCAGAAGGAACTCACAGGGACACATGCACATCAGAGAGTATCGGCCGAGTGAGCTGCAGTGTAACAGCTCATGCAGCTTTTATCTTGTCTCAGGGTCGGAGTACTATCTCATCAAAGGAACATGGTGTCTTTCAGTGTTCCTTAGGGGATCTATAGAAAGACACCCATGTCCAAGGTACATGTGGTGAACCACTTAAAGTCCTGACCCCTCTGGACATACGTTAAAGCATCACACACATTTACCTTCCATTGACCCCATACCCAAGAGGCTGGTGAGATTATTTACATGGCAGTGTTTTAAAGATGGTTCTCATGAAATTTCCATTACAATACTCCCTTTTAGCATTTTATGCTAACACAACATAATGAGAATATAAACACTTCATGTAACTTCAGCAGTACTTGAAGAGAAGGTGATTATGTAAAAATATAAGGAATAA